GTTCAGGTATTTCCCATTCCTGAACAACTCTATTCAGTTATGCCTATTCAGCATATCAGGGGTTTATGAGTGTGGTTTTGGCATAATTTGACTGGTTCTTCTTACTGCGTGTTCATAAGGCTCTTTATCAGAATTATATATAGCTTTAGCTTTACCTCTGAACAAATATACTGAATTTTTATGATGTCCGTTTAGAAAGGAGTTGTCAAAGATAATGACAAGCCGTGCTACAGAAATTGAAGTGAAATTACTGCTGTTTGCCATTCAGAGGACAACAACTTTTGAAAACCTCTTGGCTCAGAGATTTGCATATGCATCACAAGATGTGAGTTTCATTTGAAGAATGATTCTTTTAAAAACWAWTAGTTTTATTTAATTAGTCACAATSTCTTACTAATACTGTAATTCAACATGGCTTCAGCAAATAACAATTTATTGTTAGTACCTTTATTACCACATTATAATGTTGAATTATTTGACAAACTATTATGTGAACAGCATTTTTAAATCCTTCTTTTACAGGTGGCAGAAATGAAAGAACCAAGAGCAAAGGTAKAAACAAATGAAAAGTGGGTGATGTGGAAAAGACAAAAAAAAATTTGTTGTTGTTTTTTATCCCACAGCTTCCAGCCAATCCCAAGCAATCTAAAGTCATTGGGATGATTTCACGTTGCTTTGAGCCGCATTTGCATATTTACATTGATTCTCAGGACAGGTAATCTTTGCAAGAAACAAGTATTTTATAAAACACTGTAATTTTCACAGTCTTCCTGCATATGTTRACGATATTCATATTTGTTTTTTATCTCAGAAACCTTTCAGAGCTTATAGACCGATTTGTACAAGATTTCAAGTCTCAGCCCATCCCTCACCCCGAGGGGGATGGTAGCAATGTTGTCTTTCCAAGTGCTGGCGAGTTATTTGTGTTTTACAAAAAGTGTATGGTACAATGTTCACAGCTTAGTACAGGACCTCCATTACTATCGCTCACAGCAACATTTCAAAAATACCTCAAAGAATATGCATTGCGTGTTCTTGGCAACCATCTTCCTGTAAAGTAAGTACCACGTTGCCAGGGTACGTTGCTAGGGTACSTTGCTAGGGTACGTTGTTAGGTTATTAGGGTATGCATAGAGGCTGGATGTTTCAGTCAATTTGTATGCGTTTTGTCTGAAAGAAGCTATTATGAAGAGTAAATTAGACTTCAAGCCACCATTGAAGAAAGACTTCCTTTTACAATTGTCCCAGTAAGATACTCAGGCATGGTGTGTCCAACTGGATGTAACTGCTTGATGTTTGTATCCTGTATTGCAGAGGTTCTGGTGGACTAGCAAGTATTCTTAAAGACGCAAGTGAASTGAAATTCAGTGCAGAAGAAAAGAGTTTAACGTGTTGTGTGTTATGCACTTCCGATTACTGCTTAGAAACAACACAACAGGTTTGACCACATACACATGTACTAAACCTCTCAAATCTACCGTACAACGTCTATCCAAATACTCCTAAYCTTACCCTTAACCACACCAAACCAACCATAACTCTCAAACCTCATCATTCCCGGCAATTATCAACACAATCTTTGCTGCGACATTATTTCTTACAGCTTGAAGAAAAGTTAAAAGAGAAAATTGACCCCGAGCTTTCAGAAAAAATCGATTTGAGCAGCGAACAAGATGTCTTTCACGGGTAAGTGTGTTTTCTGTGTGTGTGTGTATTAAAAAAAAGTTTCCATTTCACTATAACTTAATTTTGATTGCCATATATTACGCCTTACTTCAGCGTTGTGTCAAATTGCATTCAACTAGTTGTCCAAGACTTAGAAAACTCTTGTGAAGCCCCTCTAACTGCTATGGTTAAGGTAAGACTTCATATCAGCCGATGTCGGCTTTTTAGGACAAATCCCACTTTTCCATAAAAGACCTGATTTGATTTGAAGTCGTTATGTCATAGGTTCATTGGCAAGCTGTTGAGGCTGTTGGTGATGAAAGTACTTACGTTACTGCTATATCAAACCATTTGAAGGACACTATACCACTCATACGCGATTACCTATCATCTGCAAGGAAATACTTTACGCAGTTTTGTGTCAAGTTCGCAAAGTAAGTGTCTTTGTATTGCTCCTGGACGGAGAACAATAAAACGCTACCAATACGCATGGTTTTCCGAAAAAGAAACGTCAACGTGCACATGTTCTTCGTCGTCTTCCTGTACCAATTAGTGTTTTTTTCAGAATCACTATTTTGTGGACGAAATGATTAGCAAATCGTACTACATTAACAAACAGTAGAAACTCTCCAATATTTGCCTGTCGTTTACTATCTTACAGCTCGTTATAGTATTTGATATATAAAATGATATCTTGCTTTCTTTTAGTTCATTCATTCCCAGGTACATCAATAATTTGTACAGATGTAAACCAATAAGTACCGTGGGCGCTGAACAGGTAGATCACCATGACGACAAACACAATATGACAACCATATATGAAATATTTTGTTTTGTTTAGTTGTTATTGGATACGCATTCACTGAAGACTATCCTTCTTGATTTACCATCCATTGGGTCTAAGGTTCAACGTAAGCCACCTCAAAGGTACGATTGATAATTGACAGAACGTCAGATATCCAAATAGTCAGAMGAATAAACAGATTTTGTTTTGGAAATACACGAGACAAAGATACAGAGATAGAAAGATCAGGAGCATACTTGTGATTTTC